ACGAATATGCTCAAAAATTTATTTTTGTCTCTCGTATTTTGTTTAAAGGTTATTAAAAAACTCATATATAACTTTTTAACGTGATTTTATTAAAATATCGGAGCCTAATTACTAGAAATGTCTAAGTTATTGAGACAAAAACCAAATTGAAATAGTAGGCTCCAAAACTTGATGTTTGTATCTCAGTGCCTCTATAGTTTATTATCAACTAATAAGAATTTTTTTATGTGATTTTATGAACATCATAGTGCCTAATTAAAAAATGTCTTAGGTCTTGGGGCTAAATTGAAATAGCATGCTCCAAAAAATTAATAATTTTCGATTTTTCGCGAGGTTCACTCTTAAATCTTTATTTTTTATTAGAGAACATCAGAAGTTTAATAAACTGAAAATACTTAATCCTGAAAAATATATTTGGATAGAAAGGTTTAAACGTTGAAAACAAATTTTTGAATCCCCTTAGCTTCGTCAGTTTTACTTATTCAATAGAACACAGACACGGAAACTTTCAAGTATTTATTGCCATCTTAACCAAATCTTGGTAACCCTGTATCAAACGGCTTTACTTAACAATGGTAGGACACCAAAGAAATCTAGATTTGAGTTGATTGATTCAAAGGTGTTCACTGGAAATCAATTTATAAAAGAAATAGCTTGATTTCATAACTTTTAACAAAGTTATTTATCGAAGAATTATTTCAAAAATACTCTCTGTCAAAAGAATTAATTTGCAGCTTTTCATTATTGAAAAAAAGCCGTCAGCCAATTTCTCTTCCTACTGTTATTTGCATTTTAAATGACTCTCATGAATTCTCGCGCTCCAGGATTTACATTGAAATGTTTTTATTTTTATTCATGATTCTAGTCGGATTTAATATGAACAGGAACTTGCAAAAATGTGATTATTTCAACAGGCACTCTGCGAATAATCAGGGATACAAGTTAAGCAAGCAGAAGCTAAATTTATGCAGTAGTTACACTTTAATTCCTCGTGATCTCAGAGGAATTGCTGGCGAGCATAGATTAATTGCTTGTTGTTGCTGCTTCACTGAAATTACAAAAAACTTTCTTCTCTAAATGAATTGGTTTTATGTCTGGAAAAAAGCAAGCGAACATAGAGTTATTTTGACGACAACAGCAACAACAGAATCCCTCGAATTTCTAAGAATATTCAACTGTGATCATTTTGAATTTATCGTTAAATCCAGGTTACGTTCACATTCATTTGTAAAGTTACACGGTACTTAATTATTTATATACAGAATGTTACTCGTTTAACTGTAAAAGTACGTGTTTCTGCGCCAAATCAACACTATTATTATAGTTTGAGAAAGCAAAGTTTAGATTTTGGAGCAGTTGTTAATGTATGGTTTATTTTATTTTTTTGCAGACTGACTGGTCGATATCCCTGATGCTTCAAGCACGAATCGAGTAAGACAGACTATGATTCATGTAGAAGACAAGATTTATTCAGGATCAGGTACAGACAGATGTAGCGCATTTCTTACAACAAAACTTCGAATTAGAACCAGGATTCAAACGCTAAAACGGAAGACTGGAAAGTTGTTATTTCGTGATTCTTTCTCGGTTCAATTCATGTTAAGGGCTGTTTGTGGTAGAAAATTTTCCCGCCAAAAAACTTAGAAAAAATACGGGTGCTTGTAATACGCATGCGTCAATATTTTCTTTATTTATTCCGTAACATTTGTGTGAATGTGGCAAATTTCCCGCCGAATGACTAAAAAAATACGGCGCCAAAAATACGCATGCGCCAATTTTTTTTTAAAATAGATACCCAAGCTTTACTTTTAACAGATAGTCTACATTGCTAATAAACTAAATTTTTATCTACTTGTCTTCTTGTATTATTACCATCGACAATAAGTCAATAAAGTGCAGCGATCAGTTTTTGTTTCAACTTTTATTGTCTTGCAATTTATACTCAATAAACCACCAAAGTTTTCATCTCAAATTCTCTTTAATCACTTTGTTTCAATGATTAAAAATGTGGTAAGAGAAATTTTTCGTGTATATACCAAGACTTTTGGCGGGAAAATTTGGGCCAATTTGCACAGAGTATCCCCTGGCAACATTTTCGGCAAAAATTTTAACAAGGCTTCCTTCCAAAAATTTCCCGCTAAAAAATAGACAGCATCTCGTGCAAAGAATCGAAAAGTAAAAGCCAATTTATCCTCTCTTAGAAAAAAAAATCAATACACTGTAAACAATTCCATGTTGTTTCTATAAAAAGAAATCCTTACTCGACATGTCTATCTCTTAACCTTTTTTATACTTTAATTCTTTGCACGAGATGATGTGTGGAAGTTCCTTAAGAAAGAGCATCATGGCGAACTATAGAGCGTTCAATCACAAATACAAAATTCATGTCCTAGATTATGATCAATGTGTTTTTAAAACCCGTCATATTTTTGTAAAGCTTTACGTTGCCATGATGTCTTCATCGGAGTAAAAGATCTTTAAAGCCGTCAGTTTCGAATGTAACACAGGATAAGAGGAATAAAAAAAATTATTCAAAGCATCGACCTTGGTTTCCAGATTCAATTTGACTTCATTTAGATGATGAAAAAAGAAACTAAATTATCAGAGCATACTAGTTTATTTGATATTGGTCACAAGAACCAAGACATTACAATTAGGCTCCAAATTTGTTCTAAAAAACTTCACTATGCTTTTGAGAAATGAATCATAGAATCCAAATTGCTGTTAGATTCGCGAAGCAATTTGACAAAATAGTTCTATAAGAAGTTGGAGCGAACTCTTAAATTTGATTTTAGCCTTCAAAATGAAAGACATGTAAGAATTACGCTCCAAGTTTCTTAAACTGTATTTTAGAGGCGATTTGAGAAATAAAATAGTTCTGCAGAAACTGTAGGAACAAATTCTTTGAAATCGAGTTTACCTTCTTAGAGGCAAAGAAGTTTTACAATTAGTCTCCAAGTCATCAATTCTTACAGCGAATCGTTTCAAGAGATTTAGTCTTCAAAAGCGTACGATCTCTGTATCATTACAAACCGAATTTCTCATCAAAACTGTAAACTTTTAATTATCATTTCTTTCTGTATTCCTGTGTTACACCGAATGGCTGCTCGAAAGATCTTCCTTTCACTTACAATTACGAGTAATTAAACTAACTACGTTATATATTTTAAACTAAATGCCTGGTCCAAAGGCTAACAAGGGTTTTTTTTTTCGAATGCAAATTAATTTCTAAGTTTTGGAGACTACTCCGAAAGGTCTTATTAAAGAAGAATTTCTATATAAACCAGCAATGACAACCAACGCAGTAAAGGAATCAACAGACTTCGTTTTTCGAAGCGAGGATACACTCAAAGGATATCCTTAGACTTTAATTTGAATATGACCAATTTGCATTTTTGGTTTGTGCTTCGGTTTCGTAAAGTCAACCTGCCTTCTGTACGAATTTAAATTTTAAAGTAAAAAAAATTTGTTTGTAATTCCTTACATTTCCATGAAACTCGTAAGCAATATGTGAAAGTACTCAGCAATAAAAATACGACATCTTGTTTGATATGCATTTCTGATTCTAACGTCTGTCTTTAATTTTACGTGTTTTAAATCGTGATGAGCAAATTTCGTAACAAAGAATCTTCGCTAATAGATTTATTTATTGTTTGTTGTCCAAAAGATTGGTTCGCATATTCAGGTTGATTTTCGCCCAATCTATAAACCATTTTTTAACAACTTGCGAAAAAATTAGCGTTCTTAATTTCTATCTAATAAATTGTTCTCGAGATATATAAATCTATATTTCTTCGTTGTGAAAAGGAGCCAATTTAAACTGGTTTAAATGGCAGCAAGAGATCATACAGTTTATGACATCTTAATAGAGGTAAATTTCAACTTAATCAGTTTCCCGAAAGAACTCGTGACTAGGCATTAGAGTTTTAAAACATATTTCTTCCATATGGAAATAAACCCAGCTGATGGCACAAAGTAACAGATATAATTTAAGATCACACTGTACAAAATTCTTGCTTTTTGTATCAAAAACAAATGTTTATATTTTATAATAGCTCCCAAATTTTCAGTTTAATATAATTCATGCATAGAGTGCATTTTCAATTAATCTAAGTGTTTTTGGCCAACTTTTCTCATTTAGTTGTCAATCGTGAAGTGTGCTCGTCCGAGTGAGAGTAGTCCAGGAAAGCTTTGTTGTCGAAACTAGTGACTAGCCTGAGAAGGGGTCATCAGAGTCGAGTTAAGTAGCTGTCATTCTCAGATGCCGTTCGTCCGTTGATCAATCGGTAGAGTTAGTTTGTTATGTTTGGTCCGTTAGTGACCACGTTAGTCTCTAAAAGTCGTTTGTAAGGTGCCAATAGTTGCTGTCATCA